TTTTGTAGTTACGTGACGCACGAATCCAAGCACTTCATCTACTTTTACATGGGACAGGTGGCGATTCTCCTCTTCAAATCTGGCTAATTATCACGCTGTATTCTTTGGCGTTTTACCGAAAAATAATTTTTCAGCAGTCGATGCTCCAGGCACCCTTGAGGGCTCAAATGATGATGATGATGGTTGAAGCTACATAAGTGGGTTAGCACCTTATCTGACGAACAAAAATTTTGATTTATCTAAATCTGGTCTGCGAAAGGTCCTCCGATCAATCAAACCCCAGTCCCGTGGTTTTGAACACAACCGAAGTGAGAATGCAGCTGGTGAATTCAAATGGATCCCTTTTGGTATCCATGACACTAATCGATAGCTTGTCCAGTAAAGTGCATTTCGAAATGCCAACCAGAGCTGATGGTCTAGACGATTGGCTGACATAGCCACAAGTGCGTTTCAGCTTGGTCCTGCACAAAGTCATCTTCAATGCGACTGTTGCTAGACAACATTCATTAACAGCATCAACACTACCTGAGAAATGGATTATCAGTTTGGAAGAAGTCGAGAGTGTGTAAAATGTAGTTTTTATCGCTCAGCCAGCACAAATCCCGCTGCTTGTGGGATGAGGAACCAGCCAAACCATCGGTGTCACTTCGTCTCTTGGTATTACGCGCTAAGTCACACCAATTTGCATCGGTCGCACTTTCGAGTGGTTAAGAACACGCTCCTAATTCACTCGTAGGTGGAGATAATCTCGCAGTTGGTTTGGCGGCCAGACAACGAATTGCTCACAAACAACAAACATGCATGTTCTTGTGATTAAAGAACATTGATATCCTTGTTTTCGTGTTGGAACCTACAGCGATTAAAAGCGGATTGACTCAAGGGATTTCTACAGTGCAAGTGTAGCCACAATTTAAGTCCCAACAATGCACAACACACGCATCGAATCGTGCATAGCTGGCACGCAAATTGCTCGACTAAATTGCTTTCGCCTTAAGCTACTGCTTACTGGCTGCTAGAGAAAGCGGTGTGACAGGTTTTTGTATGCGACGTCCTTAGTGAAATTTACTTTATAGCACTTTATATTTCAATTTGGCTGCCCCTATCCCATTGGCTCACTCTTCCGTGAAGGCTGAATCTTTACGCAATGATGACCAATTGTATTTTCTTTCGATATCGGGCAGCAAAGCATTGTCGCTATGGACTATGTCTACTTCGAATCGGCCAATCCTGGGCTCAGGCCTGTTTTAATTAACTAGAGCGGAGGTAAGCAGCCAATGAGAAGCAAGGATTAAGACGAAACAACTAAGATTTCTGATTACAAATATAATCTGTCTGGTGGATTTTATTCGAATGACTTGATAACGCAGTTGAACCCCGCACTTTACAAATATGTGAGTGTGTCAGAAAATGAACTTGTAGTGCCGCCTTGGTTTGTAAATTGGAAGAGCATCACGCGAGATACCGCATGGCCTGAGTGTACAGCCGTCAAATTTGCTCACACCAGAATCCCAGCCAATCAACTGTCTGCGTGTGTGTGTATAACTGACCAACTGGCCAACTGGAGCCGCAGATGTTTGATAAGCTCGCATTAAATTGATGGCCTAGTCAGAATAGAGAATTTGGATGTACATCAGCTGCCGGACGGTGTGCTGATGAAGGCTGCCTTGACCCACTTGCCTTCTTCATTCTCCAGTCGGCAATGCCGAATTGCTGGCTCTAGCACCACGATTGGTGCATGTCGAGGACGGATTTTGATGGGTCGAAATTCGCAGATCAATTCGAATTAAAAATAAATATTTTATTATCTCTGAGTGAGACATTGGATAGTAGAATTGATTCAAATCATCTATTCTCAGTAGCTCATTCGGTTAATGGGGAACTTTAGCTGCTGCAACGTCATTGGTTGCTCAAGGACAGCTAGCATTTCTTCTGTATTCTGAATCAAAGTCGTTTCTGACAAAGTGGTTTTGATTTAATCAAATTGGTATCCTCGTGACACAGAATTCGAAATTCCATGTAGATTTATGGAGACAGGCTGACAGCGCCGCAGACTTGTTCTAAATTCAGACGAAATGGCACCACGAAGGATTACTGATTTCTCAGGGATTGAACAAAATTCGACAAGAATTCACACAAGCGCAGGTTTTGTTAGTGTAAGAGAGTGACAGGTGTCAACTAAAACCAGCTGTGAGTGCAACTATACCTTTATTATCAATATGGTCTCCCGCATGGAACCAATTTTATTGGTCAAAATTAAGGTGAAACGAACTGATGTTGTATCCGTGTGTTTTTTTATGTGTGTGTGTGTGTGTTTATAAGAACGATGAGACAGCTAACAAATTTCTTTCTTGGGTGCTTAAATTGAGTCCTAGTTTTTAAATTACAATCCTTGCCAGACAAAACATTCTTTTCTGTCTGTTGTAGAAAATCATGTCGCTGAATTCGTTTTAGTAAGCATTTTGTTTTAAATTAGGATTAAGACAGCATGAAAGATCACAGGCTGTTAGAAGGAAGGATGCAGGGTTAAAATTCATTTATTTTTCGTCACATTTTTGGCAAACAATTCGTTGCAGGGAAAACCACCGGGTTGTCGAAATATGGCATTACTTAAAATCTTAGGTGGCTATTTCCAGAGCGCAATAATGTCCGCGAATGTGTTACGTCTAGTATAGTGTTCCGGGTTTTATTGAATTATAAATCAGCAACAACAAAATCGATTAATTGGAGTGATAAATATCTCTAATTTTGGCTTTATTTAGGCGAAAACGGGACAAAGTGTTTGCCCGCCACAACCACGAAATTCTATTGGCTAGTTGTCGTGATTGGTTCATTAATTTTAGTCAACACGTAACTCATTCAAATTGGGGTAAAATAGTGATCAAGAAGGTTTAGAGAGGTCTTAGCGTGGACAATTAACTTGTCAAAATCAATCATCAGCATCATTATTTAGCGTCAGCAACATTAACTCGAAAATTCCATCGACCCACATTTCCTTGAGATGTAAACAAAAGCCTTGCAAGACTATGTGACAGCAAGTTAATCATTCGTTATTTAACGAAATGAAACCCTGGTAAAGTTACACTGAAAAGATTTAACCGCTAATTTTTCAACTTGGTGATGATTGTTAAGTGTCGTATTAGAAAATCGTGTTACTAATTTCAAATTAGTAGGCGGTTAGTTTTATTCTAAAAGAATGCGCCACCAACAAAGGTTGATTGTAAGTGGATGGTTAGTGTATGGATGTAATTTTACCATAAGTTTTTGTTTTGCAAAAAGTAAGATGTAATGCATTAGATTAGTGTTTTTTCCAGATTTTTTGCCTAATTAAAGCAGTTGCTGATCGTCCGAATAGAACACTACTCAATCTTCATGTTTGACTAACTGATTATCATTTTCAAATGAACTTGTACTAATTTGATGATCCCGCCTACCCCTTCAGGACATTTCAGTGCCTAAAGATCACATTTTCAGAACCTGGATCGGATCAAAGTCTTCGATCGGACAATCTCGACACATCCCTAATTACTACTCTGGCACCCCATGACTACTTTTCAAACAAGTCACTCACTCTCATTTAAACAAAACACGAATTTCACCAATTCGGCATTTTGTCTTAATTTATTTAAGCCAAATTTAAAACAAGAGACGTTTCTGAATTTGTTGTCTAATTAGTTTTTTTTTAAATGGATGTCAGCTAGGTCGACACATAAAGCCCTCTTATTTATTTTTCAAATACGTGTATTACTTTCCGTAAAATACCCCAGTTAGATTTATCCAACAAATGAAATAATTTAGGTTCAATTTACGTGTTAAACACAGTTTGCGATATCTTTAATACGCCACGCCTGGGGATTGTGTGCGCGAATGACGCTATACACCTTCAACTAACTAATTCATTGAAAAATTTGGCACAGAAGTGACTTTGACTTCGACTATGTGACTTCAGAAAATCCTGTTACTACAAACGAAAGCAATTTTAGGTAGCAACCCAGTTAGATCGAATTCCCGGTGGTGATTCCCACGGCTAGAAAAGACCATTGACTGGCCCAACTTTGAGGTCAACTCGGACGATAGGAAAGAGGAGGAGAGCTAGACTGACAAGTTCATTTCATTCATTAAAGAAAGAGCATTTAGGAAGCAACATGACGCCAGTCGGTCACTGGAATTTGTATAAAAGGATGCTGAGGTCGTCGCATTCGGCGTAGAAGTAGGTGTTCGAGTTGTAGGGAAAAGAACTAAAAAAAAGAAGAATTCAAATTTGGGGAATGCATTCGATTTTGGGGCAATAAGAAACACACCGAGGTTTGCGCGTACCTTCCAAAACTCGGACCAACATGGCAATTCCACGTGCCACCGGTCTTATCGCATTGTTCCTTGATGGTTCGGCACAGGCATTGCGGGTAGATGTAGTTCTTCTCGTCTTCCAAGGCTCTGTAGATGATGCCTATCGTCTCCTTTTTCCGGTGATCCACCATGTTGGTTTGGATGTTTTTAAGCTCGGGCTTGTTCATCATCGTAGGGCTACTGGAGTGAGCGGTGCAGACAATGGGCTCGCGGTAGAAAATTGTGCTTGCTTAAGATGTGTCAATTAAGTTACCAGCTACTCGCACACCACTCACACGAGCCAATCACGATTAAGGTTGAAGTGGCACGCACCTTCCCAGCTGAGCAGGTCTTTGCGGTTTGTGGTGATGCTACTGACTACAAATGTGCTGCTTTAACTGATTACGCTGACGTGTCGTACTTGCAGTCACTTGGAAACACTGACCAATCAAATCTTGAAAATTGTGGGTTATTTCTGTTCAGTCTATTAATTAGAAAAAAGGAAGCTTGCAATCAAATTAATCAGCTTGAAAGCGAAATCCACCGTTTTTTCGAAATATCACCACAATTCAAGGCACAAATTAATCTTGTTCTTAAGATACCCTACTTTTAAAACAAGTAATTTCTGGGCAAATATACTAAGATTCATACAAACCGCCCACATACTTTCCAGGTTAAAAATTATTTTTCCAGTGACCACAAAATAAGTTGGGCAAATTTTGCCGCTTTGAATCGCCAGGTTCGTGTGAAGATCTTCCACGACCTGGAAGATCAAAGTATCAAAGCTGGTTTTGCTCGTAGTTCAGGAAACGATTCACAAGAACTCGGCATTCCACAAAGATCAGTTGTGCAATTTCCAACACAATGTTCAAGTGAGACGACATCAGCTACACCCGCTCCCCAAAAGCGATTAAGATTTCTATCAAATGCCTCAGCAGCTCTACAGAGAAAAATTTGCCTTTTTGGAACGATTCAATCCACTTTTAATTGCATGCTAAATGTGAGTTTGCCTTAAGGGTGTATTACCGGAAAAAATCGATAAATTGTATCATTTAAAACCATTACTGGCCAATTACTTGACTTGCACTTTAGGGGAAATGTGTAATCTGCCTTTATGGGTTAGTGAGTCACCAAATTAATCACACTTGAACCAACACAGTCAGTTCTGAAATTGCAAAATAATTTGCGGTTTAAGTAAGGCGATGGTTAATTTATTGCTTTCGGAAATTTGGAATGCTGAAAAATGAGTTATAATCACACGGGATGGGCTACCAAGAGCAAAGCGGTGATGGGGAATTCTAGCAATAAAAGTAATCTAGGGAGTTAATCCTTATTTCCATGACTGATCGTCTGTGATGCTGCATTAACGATTATTTGTGCAGTGTTGCTTCTTGAAACTCGTGCAACAAATGTGCATTTCTTCACACTGACACAAAATCGATATTTCTGATTGACCTTCAAATTTTTGTGGTTCTGCAAGTAAGGCTGTTCTGAGTTTACGTACTATCCAGAGGGAGGCAAGGCATCCACTTTTAAATTGCTGATTTTTGATTGGTGATTCTGGATTATGAACTTGGTCAAGGCTAATGATCTTGTCCACAATTAAATTCAGCTATCTCGGCTCTGGTTGATGTTTTAGCCAATAGAATGCCTTGATTTTGACATCATCGACATTAATCAACAGTACCAAATTTCAAAGTATTTATTAATTTTGTGCAGGAAAAATTCACTGAGCACAGTGGAGTTGGGTTTCAAGTTGATTTTAATCACTGGAAAAAATTTTGACTTTGCGAGCTAAACCATAATTTGGCACGCACGCTAGCACGCACGCACTTAATAAATCCGCACTCAGTAGCTGAGCGCACAAATTAATATTCGTGTGAAAAAGGCTCAGTGCTTAATTAGGAACGACATGAATCAACTACTGGCGAAGGCATGCCCTGTTTATTGTTTTAGTGACACTGGCTGACTAATAACCCGATATTGGTGAGTTAAAACAAATGAAAGTAAATAAAGTAAACTCGATGCTAGATGCAATAACAGCAAGTAACAATATTTTGAAACAAGCTGGTAATATTCCATTACAGACAAACAAGTTGATCGATTTTTTGCTACATTTTAAATCCTACTCCCCTCCAATCAGACGCCGCGCTAATATGACCGACAATTGGTGCACAAATCATTACAACATTTGTGGCAAATTGACGATAAAAATTTGGTCAGAATTTATTAAGGCCATAACTGAAGGCAAGAAGACGATTTGTCAATTTCGAAAGTGTTTGGCTTTACTAGTTGCTGGCAGAAAACACTTGAAGCGATCCAAAGCACACAGCACAGTTGTGGTGGTTGGTTTTGAAATGGACGAATTTCAGTATGTTTGAGGTGATTGGCTGCGTCAATGAGGTCACTGAAAATAAGTCTAGACTGTGTAGTTTACTCCCAGAATGACCACGATTCGATTAAATTGTGTTTCTAATTAAGTCATAACTAGGTATTTAAACCGGAATTCACAGACAATCAATTTCAAGTGAACCGAAGCTTGTTGAATCTCCGCCTTATCTTAATTTTTCAAAGCCTAATTTCGTGGCCTGACCTTGAAATATCGCCATGACGATGACAAGCATGACCTTGTGGATCATCCACTGAAATCACTCCATGGGGAATAGACCGCGCACTTGACATGTTGGCGAAGTTTGGATTTTTATGCAATAATCGATAACGTACGCCCAACCTTTCCGATTCTTGTGTAGAAACTCAGTGGATTCCCTTTAAAGGAAGTCGGAAGATCGATTTTAAATCAAAAGTTGTCTCATTTAAATAAGTTTGGGAGAAAGAAGATGAATGAAAATAAAACTGGATGTGGTCAGGAGACTGCGGCTGTGGTGGATGATAATTTTTTTTACAATTTCATCTCTCACGATCCCTACAGCACTTGTTAACCTTAAATCTGATTAGCTGCTTTTTCTTTTCTGGTCAGTTTGCGGTAGATTCATGACAAAAATTTAGTCCTGGAATTAGGCAATGCACAAACAACTGTCGTTTGTCCGAATTCCAATCCAAACTGCCTTTTCAAATTAATATTAAACTTGCCGCATTGTATGCCGAACATTAATCCTTCAGATGGCATTGTTTAAATAAACGTCCTTTAAAAAAGTTGCCTTTGTTCTCGACGCATTTAAACAAGAATTAGTTTTTAATACGAGGATGAACGAAGTCATCAGCACAATCGCGAGCAATAAAACTTGTCAAAAAATTTTGAGATCCCCCAAATTTTCTCAAAATCGTCTCTACCACAAATCAAGTCCATATTTAAAAACTACGAACCCGTGGAAGTTGAGTAATTGACATTCTGAATCCAAAACTTAACCGAAAAAAAACTTTTTCTCAGCGTCTGACAGTTTTGCGCTTTAACTAGAAGAAAAACCAACGGTTTGTTTAAAATTTTGACCATAATGCCAGCAATTGCATGGTGGTAAACATCCTCTGCGTACACATCAAACTTATTTTCTCAGATGTTTTTGTAGCGAAACAAAATCAACCTGTACTCGTGGCAATTTATCATGTGTATCCACCTTGCTTCCTCAATCACAAGCCCCTTTTCGTATTGCAAGAATCCATGCCACTCTTGTGGTAGGATTTGAGTGCAGGTGTGTGCAGTCACCATAGCCCAATCTGATTGGTCAACGGGTCACATGAGATTGATGTAATCCAGCGTAGCTCTCTCTAATACCCAAGTAGGCACCAGAACAGGGCGTTGTACATTCGTGTGGCATTCGCTTCAACAACTGCCATCAATTCACCATGGCGACCAACACGCGCACCGCCTTTCCCCAGGACATGGAGGAGACCTTCAGCGACGTCTTCATGGTAGAACGAACAGACGTCAACGTGGCTGACAGGGCCAGAATGGCGAGGATAATCGAAAGCATCATTGTTCCGGGTTACAAGGATCCCAGGCAAGCCGCTCGAGACATCAAGGAGGCTCTGGACGATGACTTCGACCGAAACTGGCACGTTATCGTTGGCACAGACTTTGCATGGTAGGGTGCCTTCAATTTTCCATCCACCACGTGTAGTTGCCAACCCTGTACCATTGTATTCCACGTAATTGGCTTATTTTGAGAGGTAATAAGATATTAACGCGCGTTTTTTTGCGTTTCAGCTACATGAGCTTTTCCCCTGGCTTCTATATGCGCGCCAGCTATCGTGACTTAGTCATCCAAGTATTCCGTCTGGCCTGAACCAAACTGAAATTTTCCTCTTATTGTACTTGAGTTTGACCTCCATTCACTCTCATTAAATGCCCTTGTCCTTAATATCTGCTCCCATTTCTTCACTTGCTTGAAAAAAGAAACTGAAGTGAACTGACGTGACGCCATGTTGTTTTTTTTTAAATCCACGAATCCTGTGCTTGGGGTCAAAGCGAAACAATTTCACTTGATATGAGGGGTTGATTCTAAGCAGCGTTCTGATTTGGTTTAGGGTGAGTTACCAGGATTAGACAAAAATTGAATTCAAGTTAATTAGGGTATGTGCATCAGATTTAGGACCTCATTTAAACAAACTCATTTGGAAAGGAAACAGGGCTCTTCCGTGCACAGTTTTAAACTCACAATTTTGTGATTTACGCGTTAATCGGAAGGTCTTTGTGTGGAAATTAAGTCATTTGACTGAAAATATAACAGGTTTTTGTTGGTAGTTGTGACTAGGAAGGCCTACTACTTCCTCTACATTCTCTAGACCCTATTTGCACAAATTTTCGTGAAATTAGAGTCAAAAACCAACGATTATTGTCATAGAAGCTGCAGAATTCTGGTCGACGTCTGAGACGTGGCGTTAAATAATGACGCATATGTTGTTGATCAAGCAACTCTACACTTAAATCAACGAACCCTGTGTTTGGGGTCAAAACGAAACAATTTCACTTGAAACTGGGTTGTCTAACTCAAAGTAAGGCTAGTTTGGAGTTGTGAGTTTCTACTGGGAGCTAAAAACGATGCGGTCGTACCAAACGCGTTGGTTCTAAGCAAAGTTGTGATTAGGTTTAGGGTGAATTACCAGACTTAGGCAAAAAATGAATTCAAGTTAGTTAGGGTTTGTATAACAGATTCATCACCTGATTTCAACAAACCCATTTAATCGACCTGAGATTAATTCCAATTTCGCCCGTGAACACTTCTAAATTCTTGATGTTGTGTTTTTCGCGTTAATCAGAAGGTCTTTGTGTGAAGACTAAGTCAGTTACGGGCAGTAGCGATTCAACTAAAAAAATACAAGGATTTTTGTTGGCGTTTGTGACTAAGAAACCCTACTACGTTCTCTGTATTCTCTAGGCCCTGTTCACGCAACGCCATTTACACAAATTTCCATGAAAGTAGGGTAAAAATCCTGCGATTATTATCATAGAAATTTGGTTGACGTCTTAGACGTGGTCCCAAATAATGACGCATATGTTGTTGAGCAGGTAGCTCTACACTTGCGAAATCACATTAATTATTTGCCCATAATTCTGCCTTTCCGCATTAAACCTCACTTTAATAATTATACACCTCAAGTTAAATTTCACCGATTAAAATTGGCACTAGGATTGCAAAATAGACCGGTAATCAGGGTCGTGAGCACAAAAGTGTTGGCGCTACTTCAAGATTTGTCAAATCGTTCCTAGGCTTTCCTTATTTTATATTTCGTAAACCCGATTTCTCAAAAAATTCTGTTGTTTCAAACACGCAGCTGTCACCAAAGCCTTCCCATGGTTCTTTAAATTGGGCTTATATTGTGGCGCCTTCTACAAAAGCCATCAGTGTCTGATAATCGGAAAAGAAATACATTCCCTTTTGTATTTTACACAAAGATAGGCTGATTTTCATCTGTGGATATGAGGCGAGGCCAAATTTAGCCAAAAAAGACAATTAACAAGGGCATAATGTATGTATTTTTGGAGCAAACACGCTTAGTCTATTTGCAGAGACGGTGGCTTGTCATTTGATTCGCCTTCCTAGCCGTATTTGTAGATGAGAAACGAGAGGTTGTTGCATTTGACGTGCGCGAACGCCTTCTTTTCGTGCATGATGTGACTACAAGGTAAATGCAAGTCACACGCTTAACGACACTCACACATACTACTGAAAATTCAAACAAAGATCACAGCCAAAAGTCACACCTGGCAAAGTTGGGCCCGACTATGACATGCCATGTGGGTCCAAAGGTTTCATCCAAGGTTTGCTTGATAGCCGAGCTCAGATCGACGAGGTCGTCGTAGATCTGGCAGGCGGACTGCACTGTGTCGAGGATGATCGGCTCGTTCTTCTTGCTAAGATCCTTCTTGTAGAACTCGGGTCGCATTTCACAGGGGTCGTCAATTACGCGATTTCGACGGTGGTGCTTCGGGCAGTGGCTCATGCTTGTGGAATTGTGTGGAAGACAACTGGTGACTGGTGAAGACCACAAGAGAAATTGGAGAGATTAAAGTTAACCCTGGTGTGTGGTTTTTAACCGCGCTAGCAACGTGAGTGGCTCGGTGACTAGCGAACACCACGCACCCAATTTGCTTTCTACCCAGTCAAGTGATTGGCTCAGCTCAAAAACGCTACCCTCACTTGCCCTGAGCTAATTGATCTGAGTGTCACACGGTGATACAAACGCCGTAACCTACTCAATCAAGCCTAATTGGCAACAGTTGGCACTTGAGTTAGGTGAACCAACAGCTGTAATTGATCTAAATTGCCAATTTTGGTCTGCTGTTAAAGTGTCCTCAGAATTTGTGAGATATTTCGCAGAATTAATTAAAAAACGTCTTTAACTAACGTGTAAAGGCCATGGTTGAGAAATTTCAGGCTACAAAACCAAGAGAGGTGGTGGCAGTGGTGGTGGTGGTGGCGGTGGTGGTGGTGGTTGTTATAACACCTTATAGTCGGTTCAGAAGAACCGACTTATTTTAAATTTCCCGATGACTCTGATACAGGGGGTTGATTAATTCGATGTTAATTGTCTGTGGCGCGTAGATGTCTGATGTTTGTCTCCAGCCGAAATCATCACCTTCACAACAATTGTAATTGACTTGTGTACTTACTCAACACCCCAACCCAAATCCGATTACCGCAGTACTCAAAGCTTACGGCGAAAATTCTGCAAATGACAGATCACCAGACTGAGTCAGCGAACGCAGTGCTTAACACGTGCGCGGTGTCATTTATTCCACCCAAAACACTTGCTCAGTGGTTGGTGTAGGTGTGTAGTGGGTGATGCCTCCTTCACACTTGTGAATTGTGATTCAGAGCACCCCTAACTGGCATAGTTAGCTAGTCACCAGTCATGAACAGACGGAATTTCAACGTTCAAACGGACATGAACGAGGACAAACGCGTGGAGATGGAGCAGCTTGTCCTGGAAGCGGCAAACTATTCGCGGGACAAGAATCCCGAGGCGCTGGCGAGCAACGTTAAGCGACTTTGCGATGAACGGTTCGGCGGTAACTGGCATTGCCACGTGGGTCCCAGTTTTGGCAGGTACATGTGACCATGCGGTGCTCAACTGTCAGTGGCATATTTATTTTGAAAAATACACTGAATATTTCTAGTTTCTTTTTTTTCTAAATTGTAGCTCCTTTCCCTACGAGATCAACACTTACTTCTACGCCGAATGGGAGGGTCTCAATATTCTTCTGTATAAATATTTGTAAAATGACTATGTTTTGTGAAATAGACCTCCTCTAACACCAAAATTCATTGTCCTTGAAATTCAATGGTTAAATTTGGCGAAAAATTAAGGAGCGAATTTAAACAATTAGATTTGTTTATGTACGTCGAATGCTGGTGGTGATGTAGCTGGGAGGTTGTACATCGAACAATCGATTCACAAAACAGGAATTAAATTTTTAAAACCGGATGATTTCATCTTGACACTACAGGCCTCAACTTTTGCGGTGTTAAAATGTGTTAACAAGCCCGGATTCGCCAAATTTTGGAGACATCGTGAAGTTTAATCAACTAATTCAGTGATTTCCGGAATAAATTATGCAACAGTTACCTGGAATTTAAAAAAAAATCTAGCCATCAGATTCTCTACAAAATGACGAGTCAATCAATCATCCCGTCACTAGGTTTACAGGAATTTAATCTGCTGATTAAGGATTTCGAACCGGCCAATCATTGAGCGTTTTAACCCAGTCCACTAATGATTTGCGAGGTTACCTCCAACTCCATTTTGATTGGTAGATGACCGAATCAATAAACTCCTGGCGACGAGAGTTAATTAACTGATTTAGGCATAATTTGGCATTTATGATGTTTTATGTGAAGATTGAGATTCGGCGAATTGCGTTGATTCACGTCCACCAACGCAAACTCAGACCCCAATCGATCATGCGGAACCGTGTGGGCCTCCCGAGCTACGCGTTTCACATATCTGGTCATCCAGTAATTTGTACTTTTAAAAAGTACACCCAAACTGCATTGATCGACAACCCCATTTAGTTGGACACGACTTTGAATAAATATTCCACAGCAACACAGCTTGCTTGAACTCCTGTAAACAGTCGCAGAGTCAACACAAACTAGGGATTACTTAAGGGAAAACGATCGATTTTTCGATGGGCATGTGGGACCAATGAGTGAAGGGTTAACCAGTTTGGCAAAGTGTGGGGGGGGGTTTCGTGGTTGTGAGTACCATTTCTGAGAGATACTGCAATTACGAAAAGGTCTTGTCAGGTACACATCCCCTTCAGCTAAACTGCTTGCAAAAGAACTCGATCACTACGGCTATCTCCAGAGATTAGAACCTGTGCAAAACTTGGAGGATGATCGACAAACAGAGTGGACGCAATGGGGCTTAACTTGCTGGTCTTACAAAACTGCATCTTTTTAAACAACTGAAAAGTCTCAATGG